CACTCCCCTACCCCGTCTCCAACCCGCGGGGCGAGTGGTTGCGCGGGCGCGGTTCTTCCCACTGAGCGGCAGGAGGCGGCCCCAAGAGAAACGCGTTTATTGAAAGACTAAAATTACAAAGGCGCCTGGCACAGCAAGAGCCCGACTCTGCGTCTTCACTGGCAGGAGAGGAGCAAAGCGAAGTGCGACCCCGCAGGAGGGCGAGGAAGCACAAAACCAGCGTGTCCTTTCTTTGGCTTCTGCTTTACGGCAGGGACCCAGGACCCGCAGCACCACAGGGATGCTCCGGGCTGAGAGGACCAATGGGGCTCAAGAGATGCCCAGCTAATGGCTCCTAGTGTTGCATCAGTTCAGGCACCGTGCCTCAGGCTGGAGACTCAGAACACCCACATCAAAAGGCAGCACCAAAACAGGGAAGAAGGCTGTCGCTCAATGCGGTCCAGAGTTAACTTGCATGATGCTCAGTCGTGGTCCCCAAGGCAGCCAGAGATGCCAGTCATTCTCCTCCACAGCCAGAACTCAACAGTATGTTGGGTCGATTTGGCTGTGGAAAAATAAAAAGAGGTGCCAGACCTGAAGCCTCACCCCCAAGCAGCTCAGGGAGTTGGCAGCCACGCCTCTCTGCAGGAAGCCTAGCTGTCTTGATCTGGTGTCTTCTTCCGGAGACGACTTCGCACCCCCCGAGTAGAACCCTGCCAAAAGAATGAACCAACCAGTGCTTGGAGAAGAGGCGAGGAGTTGTCCCTCCTCTCTGGTCATAGCAGGTCAGGGGTTCCCCGCAGACTCGCAACTGTCCTCTTTACCTCTTTAGCTGGTGGCTTCTTTTTCACCTGGCGAAGGCTTTGGCTCCTTGCCAATGGCTTAGGGAGAGGGAGGTCCTGGCAGCAGCCTCCCGAAGTGGCAGACAGTTCAGAGTCTGACCAGTAGTTCTCCTCGTTGCTATCAGAACCCAGTGGCTGCATCACTGGCCTGCGCCCTACACAACAAACAGGTTGAAGGAAGACTCAGAAAGCACCCTATTGAATCTTTATCACCACATGTCCAGAGTGAAGCTGGATGCATGGCACCCCTAACTTGATAACGGATTGTGTAATCCGCAGTGAATAAAACTGAGGTTAGGGTTGGGGAAAAATGCACATACTGCTTACTTTCAGCAAGACCCCTGCACTGAGACAATACCAAAGAAACCAGGCTATGGCTGAACACATGTCTGAACTAGTACCTCCAAATAGAGAGGGAGCAATTTTTTAAAAATCTGGCTTACCTGACATTTGAGATCTCTCATCCCTTTTGACTGGAAAAAGAAACTGCAAAACTTAGGTTGGATTTTTGATTAAAAGCAAAGTATTTGGTGCAGAATTTGCCCCCACCTTAAGGAACTCAGAGTAACACTTCAGTCTCAAAGACACCCCAGAAATCAGGCTGGGCTGAAGGAATGTAATTTGATTTGGGCACTGCCCAACTCCAGAGCAACTCTAGCCGGCTCACAATATAAAGCAGAGTACAGATGCAGTAACAAATAAATAACAGAAATGGCAGTTTGGACATCAAAACAAAAACAAAAAACAGTAGTCACCTCTAACAAGAGGGGCTTCATCCACCCTACCCCAAGGCCTGGGAGAACAGCCAGGTCTTTAAGGTGTTCTGGAACACCATCAGGGTGGGAGCTGTCTGATCTCAAGGTGGGGACTTCATTCCAGAAACAGGTACTGTGACAGAGGTGGTGTGTTTCCTGAGTCCCAAAATATGACAGTTTGATCAAGGGGACCTGGAACATACCCAGTCTGTTGGCTCTTACTGGCCAGGCAGAAAGTGCAGGAGATAGGCAGTCCCTGAAATAAACAGGCCCCGTGCCATGTAGGGTTTTATAGGTGATAACCAGCACCTTAAATTGCACCCAGAAGCAAACTGGCAACCGGTGCAACTTGTGAAGCAGGGGTGTTGTGGGCATGCCAAAGCAGGCCCACCATTGCTCACACCACTGCATTCTGGAGCAGTTGAGTGGTTTTCAAGGGCAGCCCCATGTATAGCACACTGCAATTGTTGAGCTGTGAGGTAACAACGGTGTGAGAGACTGGAGGGCCACCCAATCCAGGAAGGGGTACAACTTGTACTCCAGATGAAACTCTGCAAAGGCTCTCTGACTGCAGCTACCATTTGCTCTTTGAGTAGGAGTTGAGAGTCCAAGAAGACCCCCAGGCTGTGCACCACTCCTGAATGGGGAAATGCAACCCCATCTAGGAGTAAAGATGGAAGATCTGCAGACTTAGGTGGTCTCAACAGCCACTCAGTCTTGGTAGGACTGAGTCAGAATCAGTTTCTCCCCATCCAGCCTTTCACAGCTTCCATCCTTTGGCCTGCCAGTGCTTCCCAGTAAATTACACACATGCAGTTTTGGACATGTATCTCAAGACTGAAAGCCACAGCAGAAGTGACAAATATCTACAGAAGGATTCCTATTACACAGGAATTCCCTCCCTCATCTGAAGTCTCGACCCTACAGTTCCACAATAGCAGGGCAAGAACTGCATGTGTGGCCTTCACAATCCATTGAACTGGCTATAACATTTGACCAACTGATGGGCTGGGTTCACACTAAATGGATTACCTCACAATGATATTGTCGGCATAGCCTGCGATGCCTGAACATAGGATGGTTTAAAGGGATAATCTGGTTCATAGAACATGCTAAGGCACAAAATGCAGAGCTACAAGCTACCCAATGCCATGTTAAGGTTATTTAATACCTTAAATACCGTGGTATTTGAACCTAACCTTGGAGGAATTTAAAAAAAACCATCTATGGTTTTACCTCTTAAGGCAATTTGTCACAGTGGAGAACTTACTGCTTCTTTCCTAGAGACCTAGCATCCCACAGCTCCACAATGGTTTCCTTACCAATTGGTCGTCGGCAGACCTCCTGTTCCTCCAGGTAGAGGGGACCTGAATAATGCACCGTGGCTGTTTCTGAGATGAAACGCAAGTCCTGATTGCTGAAGCTGTGCAAACGCCCTGCCAGGGCACCTTGGCTCTAACCAGGAGACAAGAGGGGGAAAAGGGTGGGCAAGACCAATTGTTTGCTCTCCCTGAATCAAGGAAGGGGTTGTTCCAGAAACAGCATTTCAGAGGAGAAAGACCCTTCAGTCAGCACACAGTTCCTGACACTTAACCCACACTGCATGTATGAGAAGCCCATATGAGCTGGAGGAGGAAATGTGGTAGAGAACGGAGAAGAGGTGAATTAGTTTAAAAAAAAAAAAAGCTGGCAGATTAGGGGATTCACCAGAAGCATGAAGAGGCAAGATGGCCTGTCTTAGAAATGCAAAAACCTCCGTTGGTGGGATCTCCTCAAGGGCCAGAAAGGAAGCTGTATTCCAGGTAAGGTGCCAGCCTGTTCCAGAGTGGGAACCAGCCTGCGCTCAGAGGTATAAGCTTAATTAATTAATTAATCCTAAGTCACACTGCCAGCAGGATTTGGGAGACAACACCCAACATTTTCCACCCATGCGGGGGATGGGGCGGGAGGTATCAGTAAGTGGCTTCTCTATTGGTATTCTCAACTGTGGTATTTATTTATTTACAAGCTGCAAAAAGGGCATGGAATCCTGGAGGAAAACAGCCCGAATGCCTGGTTACCAAAGGCAATTTGGGGGTGAGAAACCTGTGACCGCAGGAAGGAATATACCAGGATAGTCTGCACAGCCCACAATTCTTCTTCTGCCTATGAGGACAGTGGCAGCCCCTCTCTTCCTCAGTCACCTCCACTGCTCAAGGCTCAAACTATCCTCCAGACCAGTCCCACCAAGAGATCAGAACAAAGGAAACATGAGGTTACTTTTGCGGCCACCTGGACAGCTGCTGCGGCTGCCACGTTGATGCTCTTCTTCCCAAAGCTCACAAGAGTCTTGTAGCCACGCTCTTTAGCTTGGAGGATGAAGTGGTCAATTTCCTGCAGGAATTTACAATTCACAGGATCAGGAGAGGGGCACCAAAGAAACCATTCCCTCCACACGTTCCCCACAACTCCTGCCACAAGGTGAGAAAGTGCTCCCCACCTGCAGGAAGGGGGGGGGGAGTAGGAGGTCTGGCACCAAAAAACCCACTCCTCCTTTTCTCTCCCTCCTGCTTCTTGTTATGGGTGTCAGGGAGATAGCTACTTCTGTGCCAGTGGCGTGATCACTACAGAGATTGAAAGACTGCCAGAAGACGCCCAAATCTTCTGCTGCCTGTATCTGTTCCCAAAGGAGGCCTCCTCCCAGCTCTGACTCCCTATTCTGCCTTGCTGGTGAACACAGGCAACCCATTCTAAGCCAGCCCAATTTCATGCAGGCTCAGCCCTTTAAAGACAGAGTTGAGAAATGCTCTGTGTTACTTTGGTTGAAAAAAAGGTGGATGACAAGTCAAAGGTCTCAACAGGCACCTGCTACCTGGTCTCCAAAGACAGTGGCTTGGACCAGGAGGATCATTACCTTTTCTTTGCTGGACAATGTGGGATGCACAAACTTGCGGTACAGCAGGCTGGCCCCTCTCGTGTAAGGAGACAGGAGCCACACCACAAAGGCCATCTTGATCTCATAGTAGAAGGGAAACCTGCAACCGAAAAGACAACCATGGAGCCATCAGCATCCAACAGGTTGCCTGTTTGACTTCTATAGGGGCTGGCCTGGCAAGCTGCTGAACCAAGAGGGCTGTTTTCAGAGCCAAGGAGGATTAGAAGAAGGCCTTTCCTGTGAACCCAGAGACGATCAGGGAAGGAAAGGGAGCCCAGCACTCCTTTGCCAACCCTGAGAGTTATACAAAAACAGATTCACTGACTGTCTGCAGCCATTTCAGTTATTACAGGTAGTCCTTGGCCTACGTTCAGTGACCACTGGAAACTACGACAGCACTGAACGAATGGTGGTTACAACTGGTCCTTGGAGTTCTGACTGTCCCAGCACCCTCATGGTCACCTGATTGCAATCTGGGCACTTAGCAACCAGTTCACACATTTTATTTACTTATGCAATTTCTATAGCCGCCCATCTCAATCCAAGTGACTTACAACCAGTTGCAGTGCCCCGCAATCACGTGATCGCCATTTGCAACCTTCCCTGCTGGCTTCCCCAGAAAGTCAGTGGGGAAGCCAGCAGGGAAGGTCTGAAGTCGCTGGGGTAAGTCTCCCCCACCTGTGCACCCTCCCTCAGCCACTCATGCATCCCCGCATGTCCTCCTCAACCCTTGCTGCATCTCCCTCAGGCACCCCCTCGCACAATCAGCTAGCAAAAGAAGTTGCTGTTTTGACCCTGGCCCAGTCAAGTAATCTCTCCCAAGCAAGAAAAGGCAGAACAAGGCCAATGCACCCCAGCATCCCCCTGATGGATTCACTGCAAAGACCATCCCCTGGCTGAATCTGCCACACCAACAAGGAGGGTGGGATCCCATCTGCCTCTAAACATGCTCAGAACCAGTTAAAATGGTCTCAGCTCCGCCCAGAAAACTCACTGGCTCCTTTACCACATCACGTTAAGCAATAACATGTTGACTTAGGACTTAGGGTGGTAACTCAGCCAGCTGTGGCTTACTCAGCTAAGCTGGCTTTTTTTGCCTCAGCCTCATTTACCTAAAAAGGTTACTGCAAGCATAAACTGGGAAACTCTTGAAAGGAGAGCACAGATGTAATGAATTTTTTATTACGGCATACTTGGATCTGTCACGATTTCTGTCAAAAACAATATGGAATACAACAGCTACAGCAGCATCCAGCTGCATTATCCATTATCTATCCTGGTGGCCAAATAATTCTGGTTGCAGGCCAAGCAAGACAGAGCAGGAGGAGCAACAAAAAGCTAACCATTAGTTTGAGTCACCCATGGAGTAGATGTTAAGAAAGGGCAAGCCATTTGTTGGAAAAACATGGGGCCAAAGCCTGTTCCCTCCCCTCAAACGCAGAGGAAGACTGGCGACTTTCCAGCAGGCCTGTGCAAGGACCCGGACAGTAATTGGGGGGAGGGGTGCGCAAAGCACACACCGCCACGGGACTTTAGGGTGCTGCCAGCCTTGGGCCGCGTGAGCGCTCCTTTTGGCTTGGGAGTTCGAACGGCTGTGCAGTCCTCGCCT